TGTATAAATTTAACTATATCCACGTAATACAAGTAAAAGGTAGATTGTGTCCGTTTATGAGCGAAGATTCGCAAGGACGACGTCGACGATGATGAAGGTGGCGTCACGGACTCGATGCGAGAAATAGACGCAATATACACGGAGTCCGTGTTTAGATGTTAGCTATGTAGGACCGTGCTATCATGGATTATATGTATCCCTTTATTTGTAGATAAACTAGCGCCCGTGTGTACAAATAGTTCAGGCCGGATTTTCATCTCGTCCACGAACGAGATTTGGGTAATCTTATGTACATTCAAAATATACACGGTGGGGTACCATACTGTAATTTATCCTTTTTTTCCAAAGAACGCTAAAGAGTTCTTAATTGAACGATCAACTTGGCAAGATTAATTCTCGCCGGCCGATATAAGAGACGTTGCGTGGGAAGGGAAGGAGACATCGCTCGAATCAAAGATTCTCATGATGAAACCGCGCTGCAACATAGGTACCTCCAGATAAATACGATTCTCGGCGTGAGCGCGCGCACTGTTCCGAGCGAAAGATTTATTTTCGCCGCACATTCTGAAATGATGACCTTTTACGCTGGATTTCGCCCCATGCGCGTTACGTAGGAAAGATACAAATCACTTCTGGACGTTTGGCGGTTACAGACGGGGTGCATTCTACCGTATATACACTCGAAACCCATCGCTCGCTCTCTTCAAGAGCAAATTCCGTCGACACATACAGCCTTGGCCAAAAATATTAGGCAACCTTATTGATCATTATTTAAAATTTTAGCTCAAAAATTGATTTATGATACACTAAGAAAAATTTTTGTCATTTATAAGTAGAATTACTTGTTATTGTAGTTACGATTATTACTGCTACAATGTTAGTAATGATATATGCAGTTACTATTACATTGTAACAGTAATAATTATTATTATAGTAATATGTAATGTAGGTAACAAATATTTCCCCTCAAATTTTTGCCATTTGTAACTAGAATTACTTGTTACCGTAGTTACGATTATTACTGCTACAACGTTAGTAATGATATATGTAGTTGCTATTATATTTTAATAGTAATACTCATTATTATAGTAATATGTAATGTAGTTAACAAATATCTCTCCCCTTAAATTTCTTCTCTCAATGCATTTGCTGCAAATTATCTTTTGTTTCCAGAATCTTTTACACTTTAAAAACTTACTTACTTAAGAAAAATGACGTTATACATAATCACCAATATAGGTAACAATGCAGATAAAAGAATTTTAAGTAAATAAAAAAATATAGATGCTTGATATTTTTGGCCAAGGCTGTATCTCGAATGGCTGATGGTCTCCGAAATTCATTTCGCACGACGCGTGACGTTCCACTCCATCCGCCCAAATCGGGTGTAGTCGTGTCTAAATGTGTAATTTAATCGTAATTACGTGAATATTCTCGCTTTATTAATCTCATTTTTTATCCTCAATTTTTTCGCATGCGTTATTTTTATAGCTCAGTACTATAAAAATATCATTAATTTTTACGGGAAAGAGGGTTATATTTTGTGGCAAAGAAATATAATAAAATAATAAATTATAACAAATCTTATTTAAGGAAAAGCTGTAAGATTTAAAAAATAAACCTCCGTGCTCTAAAGACTTTTTGTCTCTCAGCTATATTTATTTCTTAGCTTTTTTGAGACACTATCATTAAAATATTTCTATTTTAATTGAAAATAGCGATTTGAAAGTAGGTATTTATAATTAGTAAAATTAAGAGCGCAGTCGATTTATTATATTTAAACGTAATAGTAATATTTGAATTATGAATGACAGCTTTATACAAGCCTTGTTATCGATGGAAAGTTACACTGGACAGTGCATTATGCATAATGCATTACGTATACACACTATTCTGCATGAGACGCAGATATTTGCGCAGTGACGGTTTACAAGCGAGTTGCACATTGTTTGTTCTTGTAATTCTACTATTTACCAGGTTATATGATACACTTATGACCGACCACGGTTGAAATTATAACTCTCTAAATGTATAGAATTAACGCGGACGTTATTACTGCGACAGTAGGTATTATTGTTCAAGTGCATTACATTATTTCTGTGGCAAAATGGATAACATTCACATTAAATAATAATTTTAAGATGTCTCAGACGAGAGGGCAGAAAATCTATTAGTAACAATAAGAGTTTAGAATCAACTACTTCTATACGAAAGAAAGTTAAATTTCTTTCTAGACTCTTTTTGTTCAAGTTATGATATTAATTGAAAGGCTTGCTGCGCAATAGTGGGCTAACCCATAACGTAGTCAAATAATAAATATGTGATATTAGTAGAAATGGATGAATAACGGAATCCTCTATTTGTTTCAAAGATTGAGCAAACCTATTGTTATTGCTATTATGTTTATATAGTGATTCGTATTTTTTCTATTACTTACACAGAATCCTCGTGAACTGTCAAATTCTGATTTTAATGAAATTTTGTATACTCATATCTTACATAAATAGATGAAATATAATGTTTTATGAAAATTTGACACTCTCTCTCTCTTTCTCTCTTTGCGAGGTTTCTTTCTTAATAATGTAACCATCTGGCGCAACGAAAGATTTTACTCTTCTCATAATATTCTTTACTTAATATGCAACTTCTAATAAACTTTTCAAACATGTGTCAAAATATGAAAGAGTTTTTGCAATATGCAAATAAATGTATTATTCTCGTCAATTTATAATCTCAGACATTATTTTCTCCGTTTTTACAAAATGTACACTGTTAGAAATGTTCTTAAATTTCATTAACTTTTAAGTTACACAATTTGAATTTAATTTCATGACATTACATTAAATTTAATGTATTTATAACTGAAAAGTATATTTGTGTACATGTACATAAAATTTAATGTATTTTTCATGAAAATTTATGAAATTTAATGTGCTTTTCATAAAATTTTATCAAAAGTACATTAAATTTCATAAATTTAATGTACACGTTCATTAATTTAAGTAACTACTGTAATTTAATTTTCAGTTAAATCATTCATTACTTTTAATTTCGTTCATAACCATAAGCTTCATTTACATGTAAAAGGTTTTTCTAAAAATGTAGCTCTATTATAATAGTTACATAATTACGAGATATTCAGTACATTAACACTTTTATACATATGTGTACGGGAGATTGAAAATGCAGATTGTACTTGAATACGTAAGGCGAATACATGTGTGTGTGTGTGTGTGTGTGGGACCACGTTTTGTGCATGATTTATGTATTTGCGCAGCGTCAATCATCGCCGGCTTCTTTCTCTCTCGTTTTTTTTTTCAGCTTCATTGTCGTTTTTCCAATCCACCTCGTCTGCCGGGGTGCCAAAAGTTCAAAAGCGAGATTGCAAAACGAATCGCTAGTAATTTCGCTCGCCTCGTCGTTCACCATATTCGCGTGCGTTTCACGAAAATGGCTCGTCGTTGAGTATCGCGACACCGATTTGCCGTCAGGAAGCCTTAGAGCGAGAGATTTGAGACTTTTACGCTTTACGATCCTCCGTAATCCACATACGCCTGTTATCGGTAAAAGTACGAGAATCGCTGCGCGCTCGGATAATCGTTAAATTTATAGGAACGTCGCGCCACGTGCAGCTGCCGGAACGATTTTCGTTTGCTGAATCTCGCGGTATACAAGAGTTGAATATCAAAGGCCAGAAAAACGCGTGTAAAAACAGAACAGTTTGTGAAATAATTCATCGAATGAATTGAATTCTGTTTCTATATAACAACTGATACATCAACTATTTCGATCTCGAGAGTATTCTGATTATCAGACATTCCACGTAATCTATAATTCAAGAGTATCGTATAGAGTGCAGTCCACTTAACGCTATAAATGTTTCGAAGCATTTAATTGGCCAATCAGAAGAAAGAATTTTACTAATTGACCAATTAAAGGAATGTTTCAAAGCATTTAAAGCATCACGCTGTTAAATGTCAAAGGAACAATGGCAACCCAATCCTTCGTTAAATAACGTTTTGTTATTTTTAACTTCTGTGTGTATCAAAATGTAAATCAATTGTTGTAAAATTGTTTTACACTATTGTTTTAGTTAAAATAGTTAAATTAACGATAAATTGAGTAGTAGGAATAGTGGCGACCTAATAGAAATAACGAAAAATAATTCAAATTGGATATAATTGGGTATAATTTGATGAATTTTTTATGAATTTAACAGAGTGCAACACTGTTAAATATTAAAGGAGCGATGGTAATCCTTCGAATTAAATAACATTTTGTTATTTTTAACTTCGGTGTATGTAAATCAATCCATTTCTGCGATTTAAGTTGCTTATTTTTAAAGTAAATAACGTTTATATTAACGTATATTCCTTAGTAAATGACAAACTAAATTTGAATCAAATTTAATACATTTTTGAAATTAAATTATTTAACTATATTATTTTAGTTAAATTATCAACGTATTGAATAAGAGCAGTGACAACCTATAGAAATGATGAAAAGTAATTCAAATTTGGTATAATTTAACATTATGAGTTTAACAGTGTAAATGGATCATAGCCTTATTCCAGTATCGCTTATCAGCAAGTTTAGAATTTTGTAATATGCGTTAACACACGTCTCGGAATCTCTAATTACTTCTCAATCCCGTCCCTTAATCTTGGAATGCACGCACTTCTGTTTCTCGACCTCTTATCTAAGGATCTAATTAAACTTTTAAGGCCATCTAATGCTCCAAAATCCTTTCTGCATTAAAAGTATCACTGACTGATCCTGCTCAATTTATCCAGCTAGTATTGTTGAAATCCTCGGAAATTCCAACGAGCGAAATTCGCAGTTAATCAACATTATAATTATATTCGGTTGTATCCGAAATAATTATATTGCGTGTTATATTGCAAAATAATTGAGATGAAACTTTATCGCGAGAGGCAAGATCATTAAATCCTATCTCGAAGCTTTGACTAAATAAATCTTATTAATAATTTATACTTTAGGGGACACCGCACCCGTGCGCTACCTGTCTCTGAAAAGTCTTCTACCGGACACCACCGGTTACATGACTTACGAGGGCAGTACAACGCATCCCGGTTGTTGGGAAACGGCGGTCTGGCTGATCCTCAACAAACCAATCTACATCACGGCGCGAGAGGTAAACATCGATCTCTTCAGTCAGTCGATTTGCCGTCGGGCTTCTCCCGGCATATATTTTTATTTTCTTTCGTCTTTTCTTTCTAAATTCCGATTCTGATTCGTGGAAGCTCGCGTGTTTCACTATAATAATCCAATCATCGAAGGTAACAGTCGACGCAGTAGGGCGGCACAGAGATAGTTTTGTCAATAACATTGGATCAATCAACGGATCCTGTCCCTTCTATACAGTGCATTGTTTCTGTTATTAGCTGTACGCCCTGAGGAAATTAATGCAAGGCCCTTCCAGTACGCCGAAAGCGCCTCTCGGTAACAATTCCAGACCGCTGCAGGGTCTTCATTATAGAACCGTGCGAACAAATATCGATTTTGCCAAGGTAATGTTACGCTGCGATTATATCACTCGATATTTCGTCCGAAGAATGTAGTGTCATTCAGGGTAATTGACACATTAGGGTAAATCATGATATTAGTAAACTAAAATAAGTAGTACACTTTTCAACATGGTATAATTCTGAATGAATACGATTTGAAACTAAAATGTTCAGATTCAAGTTTGGTAACTTGTCTCATTGTGTGAAAGTTACCAAAGGATATCAAATAGAGAAAAAAACAAACTTGAATTTTGAGAATCGAATTCAAATTTCTTTTTTTCGTTTAGAATTGTATCATGTTTAAAATTGTGGCACCTTACTTTGTACTTAATAAATTTTTTTAATATGCATTTTCTTTTCGGAATTATTTTATTAAAAATAAACTACAAATTATATTTTATTAGCACAGTTATGGAATTATAATGAGCTTTATGAATTTTTGTTTCAAGAAAGTTAATGTGACCAGATATTTTCGAATTTAAAGTGGGATAACTTTATTAAGCAAGGGAAGGGGAAGGATCGCGTATGAATATAAAAATAAATACAATAATAGCAATGTTAAATGAAAATCGATCGAAAAATTAAACACAAATGAGTGGAAAACGCCATATTCGGTCAAAGCAAATTATTTCACTGTATCTAATATTTTTTTGTGAATTTATACAATTTTAAGTTCAAGCGAACTGTACACCGATTTATTCGTTGGTCTTGAAACACAGTTATAGACTTAAACTGAAATAGTAATACCACAAATTGCCAAAATGTCAAGCAATTTAATTATCATTATAATTTATTATTATTGATAATAAAGCTGTTTAAAACTTAGTAAATTATTTATTACCTGAACTGGAATTCGAACCTGATTCTCCTGAATTCTAAAGACATTCTTCTTGTATATATTGGTTATTGCGATTAATTTTTCATATTGGTAGTCGAAAATTGGTAAGGCGCCCGCACGGAATTTGAGAGATTTGGGTTCGAATCCCGGTCAAGGTAATATTTTTCACTGAGAAAAATTTCCGGGCTTTATCTGTTAAAAAAGTAACAAACGGATATTTCCGATTGATTTTGATCGGATTTATAAGACTATCCGATCATATTTTAGGACTATTCGATCAAATTTATCGGATAGTCCTATAAATCCGATAAATTTGATCGGATAGTACTAAAATTTGATCGGATAGTCTTATAAATCCGATTAAAATCAATCGAAAATATCCGTTTGTTACTTTTTGAACAGACATTTTTCTCAGTGTCGTAATAAATTATCTACAAGGTTTTAAAGATGTTTATTTAGCACACAGAAAGAACAATTTTGGCGAAGTATCTAAAGATTTAACTAGATACACACACACAGATCCGAAATTTTTGTTTGGATCATCAAAATAATTATGCAGAATGTTCAAACTGGTTAAAAAAAATGTTAAAATTTTTTCTTGCATAGGCATCAATGTTTAAGCGTTCTACATAAATTTTTTATGATCCAATAAAATTATTTTCAGAATTAATTTCAATAATTATCTAGTTAAATTTTTAGGTATTTTAGCGAAACAATTCTTTTCGTACATCAATAATAATATTAAATTGCTTGGTAATTTAATTTGTGATATTACCACTCCAACTTCGATGTAGGACTGTATTTTGAGACTGACAAATACAATTAATTGGCACTTGACAAGGAGTATGCAAGGACTAAAAATATCAGTTTTCAATTAACAATTCTGGGTTCTTTTTAAAAGACTCTTACTGATTAGGTAAAGCATTATGAATGCATAATCTTTTCTTTTCTAATAAAAATTTAAGTTATTCAAAATCAGGTTGCTTACTTTATAAAGAAGTATTTTATACTGTTGTAAATTAGCCATCGTGGCTGTGTTAGAGTAAGTAGAACATCGACATCGTAACTTTTGACTTATAATTTCGAGTTTAAAACCAAGCGCGATAATTTTTTTTTTAAATTAAATATATTTTAAATTAAATATTTATTAAATTAAATTAAACTAATAAAGAAGGAGAATCCTTAAACATGTATAAAATTTTTGGCAACTAAAATCAAAATTAATTTTTGTTAACATAATTTTTTAAAATCATAAAGTTTTTTCCACTGTCCACACTTTGTTCATTGCAAAGAAAATTTATTCAAGGAAACTGTTGTATTACTTCTTGGAAGCGATAATATTCTATATATGATTTTACTATTTAGAAAAATTTATTTTTCAGCTGAGCTTTTTTACTACTTTTTGCTAAAATAGAAACGATTATTCTATCTCGCCGAAATCGAAATATCTAGTCAGATTATAGCATTTAAATAAATGGATATGGTTTTTAAAGTTCAATTCGATTTTTTGTACTATTTATACGTTTATTAAAAATTTATCGGCAGAAGATATCTTTGCTAAAAATACCTTGAGTGATCATAAAAGAATCAATCTCGCCAGTATTTCTCACGGAGCTGCAACTTAAATGCACTTTCTGTGTTATTCCGGCAGCGGGGAAACGCCAAGTGCCCGTCGATGGCGCAGGACATGCATTATAGAGGTAACACACGATGTTAGCCAGGCTCCAGGAGCCCCTAAACTTCGTGCTTCACCGCGAAGGGATCGTCTCGATGAGAATTTGAAAAGATGACTTTTTCCTTCCAGCCAACACGTGGCGGGACGACGGATCCCTATCGCACAACGTAGTCTGAGGGCATCCCGCGGCAGGACCACAAGAGAGGACTTTTCTTTAAAGGAATGGAACGAAATAAGTTCACATGTGGTGCGATAAAAAGAAGGAGAAGGAAGGATGCTGATGGAAAAAGCTATAATTTCTAACGGGAGAATGAAGAAATTGTGTCGTGGCTGTGTGAAAAAAAGATAGAACGTAAATTTTTGAATAAGTAAGCCGACGCGAGATGAGAATACTCTTTATTCTCAAAATGGACACAGTTGTAATGTAATCCACTATGTTATGCAGAAGTTACATGTACATAATTATCTGCAAATTATATAATTACATATAATTTGTAGATAAGTTTGCCACACACCAATCGAATTTTGTTTCATTCTCCGGAGTAGCGAGGACAAAGTTGCGTGTTGCTACAGCACTAACGTAATTCTCGTAACACGAGTGATCAAAGGAGCTTTAAGTGTCTTGTTGGGATACAGATTTTCGTTTAATGCTGTTTGTAAGTTTACGCATTGAAGAACTCTTATAACAAGTTATCAAGGATGGGCGCTACTTAAAATAATACGTGTTATTATAAATTATGATGCGTATATATACATATAAATATAAATAAATATATGTATGTATATATATATACATGGATACATATACATATAATTTTGTAAAATGGACAATAGCACTTTCAAATGATGGATGATTCCTATAGAGAAAAGATAGGCGTTGTCTTTTAAGGTAAGAAAACTTTTGTAAATGCCCATCATTGATAAAATCATATACGATCAATCTGTTTTCACACGAAAGATCGCGAGAATAAAATGTGTGCTTGAATGGATTAATCCCGCTAATGAGCCTGTAAATCGGTCGAGTTATTTGACAGGTTTTTGTCAATTACTTCGTAGCCAATGGAAATACGACGTGAACGATGTAAAGCGAGAACCATTATACGAAACAGGGGGGAGGGAAATGGTGGGAAAATGGAATGGGGGAAATGAAGCGGAAGCGCGGGAAGAAGCGGGACGATCGTGATGGATCTCGGTGGAAGATACAGAAGAAGAAATAGCCGGTATCTCGTTGGAGGAAGAGGAGGAGGAGAAGAGGCGGAGAGCAATTTCGTAATAGCTCCGGGATAGAGAGGAGTAGGATAATAAAGAAGGAATGGTTCGGAAGAGGAAGAGATTAGGATGAAGTCATGTGGTAGATCAATCGCGCGGAAGAGAACGCTGGCTCTCCGTTAGCTTAGCCGATGGACGAATAATCCGGCGCTTTTGTATATAAAAAAAAAACACAGAAAATGTACACGAACAAACATTACCTAAAATAGACGTTAAGCAGCGGAAGGCGAGAAACTCTTAGGGAAGAAAAAAAGCGTGTGTATAGAGAATAAAGTTGTATCATATGAAAAAGTGAACGTTTAACAATTGTGGTTAATAAGCAAAACGATAATAATAAAGGCGACGTTATATTGTACAGCAACAGCAATCGCTGTGTCTCTGTCTCCTCTCTTTTCTCTTCTCCTTTTTATTCTCGGATTTTTACATCAATTTTAATCATTTAAACAATTTTTTATGTAGGTTCCTACATACATCCTCTCTTCCCAGTCGACACAAACTAGAGTAAAGTATCATAACATCAATGATATAATTTCTCATTCAATAGTATACAGGGTGGCACACAAAATATTGTACGTTTAATTATCTCATTACAACTATGTTTGCAGAGTATCAGTATTTTTGACTGAGTGAGCAAATTCTATACTTCGAAATTCTGTGAGGTACAGCATCATGAGTTGAGCGGAGGCGAAGGCGCATATATCAATTTGTGAAATGCAGAGCGCATGTCATACTATTTGCTTTACATATAATACATTTATTTTTAACAAAATTGATACCAAACTGGTATAAAATTAATTATCAAATTCTAAAGATTGTCTCTAATAGATAACATTCAACATATCGTTCAACATGCCGTTTGGCTTATAACCTTTTAGAGATACATCTTTAAAACTTTTATTCTTTCCGTCAAATAACTACGATAACTGCACCATGTGAACGTAAACGTCTCTAAGTTTTTGCCATGTTCTTTGTTTCCGCGAAAAACAATACACCTATCATTTTATAATCAACATTTGAAGTTAACTATCCGTAGTCCGCCATTTCACAAACTGGGTGTACTATTAAATTTATAATGTCAAATTATATCCAATTTGAGTCATTTTTAATTACTTCTGTAGGCCCCGTCGCTGCTTGTATTTAATATGTTGTTAATTTAACAAAATCAATGGAGTTAACAATTTGACTCAAGAAAATAAAGATTCAATTTAGTTTATTATTTATTAAGAGTGTATACGTTAAATGTGGGGACGTTATTTACTTTGGAACTAACTACAGAAATGGATTGACATACATGAAAATAAAAAAATAAGATATCATTTAACTCGAGGGATTGGATTACCATTGCTCCTTCGATATCTAAAAGTGTGCATTTTCACCTCTACCCAACTCATGATATCACATCTAATAGAATTTTCACGACGTACAGACGAATTTGCCTACACAGTTAAAAAATAATACTTCACAAATATAGTTTTAACGAAATAATTAAATGATAAAACATTTCATGTATTAATTAATGTTACATTACTTTCAGTTAATGTCAGATTGCGAATGTGTCATTCTACGTTTGATTGGATATATCTAGTGATAATCTCATTGAATAATTTATGGTATCGTACATCAATGTTACGACGTTAACGCAGAGAAGTATCGGAAGCGTAAATTAATAAATTCCAATAACCCGCTAATCTCCGAACTAGAGTCGCTCAGGAGAAAGTTCGATTTGGCACGCTTCTCAAAGTTAGGCATAACAAATTTCTTCGTTGACGTGTATCAAGGGTAAGGTAAAGTTCCAACGACGCTTGAGAAAGTTTCGGCGCTTTCGAGCATCGGGACACGCTCGATCCAAAAATTCGAACATGCTGACAAATTATCCAGGACAAAACTAGGTTGAACACTGGCCTGAAGTTCATGCTTCGGCCTGTGAGACCACGTTTCATCCTTAATTAATTATCTACGGCAGTAACGGCGAGCAACTTTCGCGCGGGACGCTTCTCTCACCCTCTTGAGACGAAGGTAAGTGGATCCTATTTTATCAATTTGCGGAATAATTTATATGCCGAGAGAAACTGATTGCCCGTCAAGACGCAATATTCTTCACCGTTAACGCTTCGCGTCCGTATACCGTGGCGTTATTGCAATTTAATTACGACCGTAGGCGAAGACTTGGTGCATGTGGCCGCATGCAGTGTAACGACTTAATGAGGTCACTTAGCATGTAATTTGACTCACTGCGGTCACTAATTCACTATGTGATCTTCGAAAGCGAGTATAAATAATTGCATTAAATAGTTGTCTATGCAGAAGCTCATTTGTTCGGTAATTCGTTATGTACAAATGACTTCCGTAATACATTCTATTAAAAAACCCCCTTCTCTCCTTCTATATATATATATATATAAATATATATATATTACACACAATATAATTATTAAGCGTTGTATCTATGACATCTTAATTACATCATATATGTGAACCCCAAAATCCATTTCACCGGGACCCAATTTCTACATAATTAGTGCCAGATCTACTAATTATTAGGGAAATTAGGTCAATTAATAGCTCAAATAATAGATAGTTCCTGAGCTGTGTTATATCAAAGGTATAAAACTTGTATTCACAGAGTACCTTTGATATAGCTCAAGAATTAACCATTATTTAAGCTATGTGTGTATAACATTTTTTATTCATCACATTATAAATTACAATTAAATTATGTAAAGACAATCTCATTTCACCCAATTTTCTCTATAATTAGTGCGAAGTCCTTTGAAATGAAATTATGGAAAATGGCGCACTCCGAATAATAAGTATGTGGTGGAACGCTATGCGAAGTTTCTTGATTTACATTCGAATTAGCGTATACTTCGAGAATTTCCGCGCTTGAATTACCGTACGGTCGCTGTCTCATTCGTCAGGCATCCATTCGCTTCAGCTGCGCGAGCAATTTTTCGGTCAAACATTTTTGCAGCGTCGAGCGTACTCGTGTGTGTCAGCCTAAACGAATGCAACGAATTTAAGGGACGGCGGATTTGCCGAGAATGTGCTGAGTAGTTGGCTCGTCGCGTGCAGCAGGAGGTAAGAGGATGCCAAAAGATATGCATACCGAGCTTAAAGCTCCTTTGAGGAAAAGAAAGAAGGATGAATAAGGATGGTGAGGGAGGCGAAGGGATGGGAGCCACGTGACATTCTCGATTGAAGAGTAGGCGGATGAGGAGCTTGGAACGGGCGCGTAATCCTTGCACTCTTTTATGGAAATTAAGGACGTGATTTCAGATTCCCACGAGTACAAGTTTCGTCTTCCTTTGCCTCCTTACCTAGCTTGCTCGTTGTCATGTTCTCTCTGTGACCGCTGCTTCGTGACTGAGCGTGGTATCCCTTATTTTTAGATTCCATGCATACATACGTAACGTTGCATGAACACGATATCGCAATGAATTTTATAAAATCGGTATGGACGTTTATTTAATATACCAACTATTGTGTAACTGTACTTTTTCCTTTCATTTCTCAAACTTTTTCAAGTCTATTTTCTTTGACAAAAATTCCATTGAACCCCCCTTTCTTTCTCTCTCTTTTTTGTTCCGCTGTTCTTATTCTGAACTGTACGCGAATGATTTTGTTGAAGAGTATCGACAAATTTAATTAACTAAATACTGAAAATAACTCTATTGAACTATTAAAATGTAGGACTCTCTCAAGCATAATTCATCCATAGAAAATATTTCCGGACTAATACTATTATTCTTCAATTTATATGAAATGAAATCATAAAATGAAATCAATATAGTGACAGTCATATTTATTGTTAATTGACGAATATTTTATTTTTAAATAAAAAATTCTTAAATCTAGAATAAAATATTTTTGGACATCGATTTTGTACCAAATATTATAGCGTCAGTATCATAACATCAGGTAAAGATCTAAATTTACGAATATATAAACTTAAAATATTATTCTGTTATTTTTGTCTCAAAACAATAAATCTATCACATTTAATTTGATGGAGAAGAATAGAAATTATTAATTTGAACTTAATTTTGTTTTATTCTGCATAAGGTTGTAATAAAATTGAGTCAGGAATATTTTTATCTCGTTATAAAAAATTCTTTTTGAAAAGATGAACAACGTTGCAAAAAATTTTAATATTCTAGCATCCAGCTTATTCATCGTACATAATTATTTTGTTGATTTTACAAAATAGATTTCAGATCTGCATCTAGCTCAATTTTCAAATATTATACTTTAACAAAATCTTTCGTTTTATTTAAGCAGGTTTTTAAATTTTATTTTCTCAAATATTTACATTACTTACAATGTGTGTGTATATCTGCACTATTGAATAATCTGTTGCTAATAAAATTTTACAAGACGACATACTCGATGGCTTTGCACGTTACATACTCGTCTGCATCTTATGTTTTATACTC